TCCTCATCAAAATCCCAACACAATTCATCACAGACCTGGAAAAAACAGTACTCAACTTCATATGGAAAAACAAAAAACCCAGGAGAGGTAAAACAATCTTGTATAATAAAGCAACCTCTGAAGGCATCACAATCCCTGACTTCAAGCTCTACTATAGAGCTATAGTAATAAAAACAGCTTGGTACTGGCATAAAAACCAACATGTGGACCAATCGAATTGAACACCCCGACATTAATCTGCACACCTATGAACACCTGATTTTTGACAAAGAAGCCAAAACTGTACAATGGAAAAAAGAAAGCATCTTCAACAAATGGTGCTGGCATAGCTGGATATCAACATGTAGAAGATTCCAAATAGATCCTTCTCTATCACCATGCACAAAACTCAAATCTTAGTGGATCAAAGACCTCAATATAAATTCAGATACACTGAACTTGATAGAAGAGAAAGTAGGAAGTAATCTTGAACGCATTGGCACAGGAGACCAGTTCCTAAATATAACTCCAGTAGTGGTCTCATTGAGAACTGAAAAAGGGTAGTGTTCTCCCTTTGTCTTCCCCACAGAACCATGTGATCCCTGAGATGTCATCAATACAAGGTGGAGTCAGAATCTTTAGTTGTGTCTACATGTGAGTCGGGTACCAGAGAGGTGTCCAGGACTGGCTCAGTGATGGCTGTAGAAAGGACAGGGTACCTGACGGTGAAGATAGATCCCCAGTTGCTCCTTAGTGATTGGGGAGCACTTGCCTGGTATAAGGTATAAGGTGTGTTAGTGCAGGAAATGAAGTTCCAAGGCCTCTTACCCACTCAGCTGCTCCTGGCATGGGCTGCTATGGAACTTTGTACCTTCATCCAATCTCCCCACTCTGCTGAGCTTTCATTCCCAAAGAGCTCTCATGGTAAGGATTCCATCTGGTTCTTTCTGGTGGGCAAGGAACCAGCAATGAGCAGACCCCACAGTCATTAGTGCCATGCCACTTGCCCTTTGGCCTTGGTCATTTGGGTGTTGTTTTCCATATGAGATCTTGGTCATTAAGGTATGACACTGAATGGCTACGCAGTATAATTCAAAACCAAGGTGGGAAGGGAGGAATGCTGTGGCCAAGACACAGCTGAAGGTCAATGGTTATGGCGTTCCACATTGCTTTACTGGGGTTTTTCATCACTGTGGAGCTGTCCTCCTTAAGTCTCACCAGGTGGTCTCCATAGCCCACTGCTCTCAGAATGCTGTAACTTTCCTGAGGCCCCAGCAATAGGCAAGCTGTGTGAGATCAAGAAAGGCATGCATAATAACAAACCTTACCTATCGGGGACATTACTCATGGGCAGTTTGCTTCCACTAATGGAGCATCAGTCCTTCCTTGACCTGGTCCCTGCCATGTGGGTTATCCTTATCACCACCCAGCACTGGATCTGCCAGATCTTCAAAAGTGCTGATACTCCACACCCCACAACAGTATCAGCCCAATGACACCAATATATTCCCAGAGTAATAGCCATGTTTTCTTGTCCATCTACAGACCTCATTTATCTCAGTGTCCGCTACCCTTCTGTGAGTCAGGACTTATCCAATTGGGATTATACTGAGCAGTACATGTTGGGAAGCAGAGCACTGCACAGCAGGGACTCACAAATAGGTTCCCAAGAGCCAGCCAAAGGCCAAGGGATAGCCCTGCTACCATTGTTAGGAGTTCCACAAGTAGACCAAGCTACATAACTGTCAGATATATGTAGAGGGCCTAGGTCATTCCCATGTAGGCTCTCTGGTTGTTGGTTCAGACTGAGTTCATATGAGCCAGGTTAGTTGTTTTCTGTTATCTTGGGCTGTTCTTGATCCCTCTCCTATAATCCTTCCTCCGTCTCTTTAGCAGGATTCCCTAAACCTAAAGAGGCCTAATGTTTTGTTGTGTGTCTCTGCATCTGTTTCCATTAGTTATTAAATGAAGGCTCTCCGACGACAATTGAGGTAGCCAACAATCTGATCACAGGAGATGGGCAGTTTAGGCTGTGTATCCTTTATTACTAGATGTCTTAGCTGGGTTCATCCTTGTAGATTTTAGGGAGTTCCCCTTCCATTTTGTTCTACCTGACCCCAAAATGCTCCCCTCTTCCAATCATCTCTCAGTAGAGTGCCCCTTCATGCACCTCCCAACCCAAATACTCATGCTCCCATCCTCATGTGCCCCCAGGAGATATTCCTTTATTTCCCCCTTTCTAGGGAGGTCCATGCATCTACCATTGGGTTTTCCTTGTTACCCAGCCTTGAATTTGGTTAAGCCTCTCTTATTGTTGGCCACTACTTAGGAACTGGTCATTTTGGGAGGCGTTTTGTTGTCCTGCATTTTCATGTTACTTCTGGTTTTGTCATGGGCCTTGCTCAACTGGATTTAGTTTGTTACTGATTGTTTCTGTTTCCTTTGTGTTTGAGAATGTTTGGATTGATCCTTGGTGTTCCTAGTTTGGTTGTGTTTGGCTCATCTGTGTTCTGTTGAGTTCAGGTGTGGAGACACACAGTGTTGGTTTGTAGATGGGATAACTTCCTGATGCTGGATGACCTAGGAGTGCTATCCCTTCTGACCTCACCAACCAGAATGCAGGAATTGAGATGAGATGTGTGCTGTGGCAGGATTCAGAATATCCCACATGCTCTGATCTCATGAGCCAGGTTATGTGTATTACAATGGTTGTATGTGCTGGTCACGATGTGCTAACATGTATTCTGACCCCATGAGCCATGTTCCACAGAGTGCAGTGTGTATATTTAACAACATTTGATCCAGAGCAAGAACAAGCCATGATTTTCCACACTTCTGCCAGCCTCCTAAACTGACTTTTCTGCAACCACTGTTGTTGCTTATATGTCTCATGATTATCTCGTCATAGAATTTCACTGCTGTGTTTATACCCTCTGACTGGTACTTAACATACTAAAAGTATACTCAGATTCCTCCTCTGTCTCTGTATATATAATCAGGCACTATTTGTTGTCTCCACCCTCATTCAGCAGTATTTCTCCAATCTGTCTGCTTGAGATGTGTTCGATGATTAACTTCATTAAAATAATCTCACCCCATATATTTGTATTGTGCTGGTCCTTGATTTGTTTTCTCCCTGAGATCTAGTCAACTTTAAAACTTCTATTTGTTTATATAGGTTTATATTACATTCTTAAAGCCAGTGGTCAGTAGGTGAAGTTTGGAGGATTACAAATTGAGGCCAGTCCTGGGATACTGTCCTAGTATACTTTGTATTGTTGACAGACAGGTCCTGACATAATGTGGTAGAAAGAGTTTATTTGGCTCCCATATCCTGTTCAAAGTCCATTATTAGAGACGTTTTCTAGGAACTCTAGTAGATTCAGAGGACAGCTCTTTACTGGCTTGCTCTTTATGGCTCCTTCAGTTTCCTTTCTTACACAATTCAGGACCAAAATACAGGGGTGGGGGCACCCACAGTGGGCCTGATCTCCCACATTAGGCATTAATAAAGAAATGAGTCCTGTAAACTGCATGCAACTGCAAAATCACAGGATTAGTTTCAGACACTCAGCACAATCATCTTCTTTGTTTTTAAGTCGTCTTTTTGTGAAAATGGATGGATGTGGAAAAGATTTGAGAGAACCCAGATCCAGAAAGACAAATGCCAGAGGTCATCTCCATCAGCAGTTTCTGAATCACAAACTACTGAAGTGAGTATAAAACATGGAGGTACAGAGAGGGGAGGGGATACCAAAAGTACCTGACACTAGCTTTTTGTGTCTAGCTTTGGCTATATGTATAGTCCTCTTACCGAGCTTGATACCATGTCCTCCTAGAATTCTTCCTGAGATCCTCTTAGGGAGATTGTACCCAGCAGGAGTTGAAACCTAGCCCTGTGTGTGTATGTGGGGCTTTTGCTGTGGGGAGGAAATGTCTAGAAGTAACAGACACATAGTTGTATATGTGTATGAGAGATGGGCTAGAGGTAAGGTATTACCTAGCAGGGCCTGCACATACATTGTGTGTGTGCTTTTGTGTGTATTTGTGTGTGTATGAGAGAGAGAGACAGATAAACAGAGAGAAAAGTAGGGAGAAAGATAGGAGATGAGAGAGACAAGAGAAAAGAAGAGAGGAGAGAGAGAGGGAGAGGGAAAGAGGAGAGAGGAGAGAGAGAGGAGAGAGAGAGAGGAGAGAGAGAGGAGAGAGAGAGA